TTTCGTATATAATTTAACCAATCTCACTTAACATGCAGATAATTTTTTTTTTTCCTCATGAGAACACGAGTCACATTTGAATTTTTATTTTAATTATTCAAAATTTGGCAAGATATTCAGCTTTGATCAATTCAGAAAGTTTGGAGATTTACAGTTAACAGTTACATGAACGACATTTTGTTGGTAGAAACAAATGTTAATGTATTCATGAAGTCAAAAGTCGGGGCAACTTGGTTGTGTGTGTGTGTGTTTAAAAAAAGTCACTGACGAGCCAAAAACATCAACTACCTGTCTAATAAAGTGTTGGTCATCCATGTGTGCCTGCAAGAGAGCTGTTACCCAATAAGTCATGGACTTTACAAGACATCTGAAGATGATTTCCTCTTGGATGTCAGGCTCTCTAATTGCTCCAAGTCAAACCTGTTGCTCTCATAATTGCTTAATGGCATTGAAATCTGTCAAATTTGGGAACCAAGGCAACAAGTGAAGTCTTCATATTCTTGTAATCATTCCTGTAAAACTTGGCATTTTTAGAAGACTTGCCAAGTATTCAGTAATGTTAAGTGAGGTGTTACATGATAAAAGTACTTTTTACATAAGTGATACAAATTCAGTCTAATATTGAATGTTCCTCAGCAGAATGCTACCCAAACCATAAAAAAAAAAAAAAAAAAAAAAACACTTCTGACACTTGCTTATCTACTGAAGATGCTTTCAATAATGGAAATTGGATAGCATCAGTTCCCTTGCTAATTGTCTGTGGCTATGCATCATCATCAAAATAAAGGGGATGTAGTGGTTTGTAGTGCATTTCTTCATCTTGATTAAAGTTATCAGCAATTTGTGCCATAGTAGCCCTTCTGAATCGGCCTCCATTCACTTCCTGTATAAGTTTTAGTGCCCAATGCTTTGAGAGCAGAATTGATTTTCCTTCCCTTCTCACACCTTTGTATAAACTCTACAACATCAACCACCCAAAAGCCATGCCATTTTGGAAATATTCTGACCTTGTTTGATAAATACCAAATTTTTCTGGCTGTCAAAGTCACTCAAATTTTTCTCTTTGCACATAACTGCAACATTCAACACATCAAAATGCACAGTTTATTATAAAACAATATCTTGCAACATGCATCGCTTGTCAATGCTTAGGCTTTGTGTGTGTGTGTGTGTGTGTGTGTGTAAGGTCAGTCAGTTAAGTGATACACGCTTGGGTGATCATATATCCTTTGATACATAACTGACAAAGCAGATTTTTCCCCACAGTAGGTTGCCATTTCTTTCTACAGTAGACTGGCTGCCAAGCAAGTCTAAAAGAACCCAGTCTGTCCTGCTATTCAATCCATAGCTGGGAGGAGAAAAAATGGATTCATACCTTTCCCAAGGGTATTTGTGCTTAAGTTAATATAACGCACTCAACAGGAATTCAAACTCAGCTCTCCATGTTCTCATATCAAGCTGATATCCATTACACTACAATAAGGGAGTGTGCCAAAAATTTTTTTAATAATTTCTTAATTGCACCAAAACACAACTGGTCAGATTTTGAGACTTTCCCCCCAACACTGTGTGTGTGTGTGGGGCTTCAGATCTTATTCACATTTGGTTTTTGTCATCATTTTGACTGACATTTTCTTTTGTCCATTTCAACATTAAATCCAATTTCTGGATGCTGTTTTGACTTTGCAATCACAATAGTGTGAGGGTGTGTGCATGGAGGTGTGTGTGTGTGGGGGGGTCCATTAATGTAAAGATCAGAAACAGCCCCCCACCCAGCTAGGAAAGGTTATTAATTTGATGGCAAATGTCCTTAGAAACATTCTTCTTGATAATCATCAAAACAAAGGAAAAAGGATAACAAAACCAATCAAACTTTTGCCTAAAGTCACAAACCAAAATGAATTTTAACTCTTTTCTGCTTGAGAAGCAACAATTTCTAAGCAACAATTGCACTTTTCAACGATCATACACTTGGCTTTTTTGAGTACAAAAAATAAACTATTAAAAAGCATTTAATAAAATAATTTTTCTTTTATATTTCTTTAAAAACATTAACTTTTAGCTATGTTTGCCTTTGCTGTTTTTGTTACATGTCAAATTTGTTTTCATCCTTTTTTATTTTTATACAGAATGGCTACAAAGTTCAATAGGCTTATGAAAAAATATGGATGTGTGTGTATATAGATATTTCAGTGGCTAGAATTGTTCAAGTTGCAAAATATGTTACAATATCAGTTACCTACCTAATAAATCAGTGTGGGTTTCGTCATATGCTTGGCAAGAATAATTTGGGATTTTGACCAGTTCTACAGATTTGTATATTTTCAAAAGGGCAACATTTTTTGTTAAAAATACCCACTTCCAGAGATCTGAGAGAATATAAAACCATTGATAACTGGTAAGCCAAGCACCAAAACTTCAAATTTGTGTGGTTTATAAAAGTGCAGTCATCATTTAAATTAAATACAAAATAAAATTTTAACAGAAAATTTTATGATCAACAGAAATGAAACTGGCTGAGATGAAGTTGTTAACTAGTTTCTTATCCTGTCACCAATTCAGGGTTGAAATGTTGCCAACAAAAAAAAAAAAAAAAAAAAATTAAATTCTATTATGTTATGGAACTCCATATCTCTGCTCCTCCTGATGCACTATAGAATGATTATTTAGTACCAAGTATAATTTATCACTAACTCACACACAGTAACAAAAAAAAAACAAAAAAAAAAACATGGTGTTTAAAAGTTCTTGGTCTTTCCAAGAAAGAATTCTAAAATAAATTCTCATGCTGGTACAGTTCTCAAAATCTAACCATATCAGAAGTTATTTTGGAATTTCCTTCTTGAAAAAAAAAAAAAAAAATTTTGTTACCTGTGTGTTCATGCATAATTAACCAAACTGCCTATTATTTGCCTCTTGAAAACAAGACAAATGGACTTGTTTGCATTTGCAAAAGATAAAAGTTTTTGGCAAGTCATGATCAGTATTAATGAGCCTCCTCAACCAGACACATTTTATGAAAATACAATTTTGTTTTAGTTACGGAACTAAACTTTACACCAGTTCTTAGAACTTAAAGTAAAATAAAATTTACAAAAAAAAGAGAAATCATTTTGTGAGTGCTTCATTTTCATTAAATACACCTCTATTTGCATGTCAAGCATGACGGATGTACCTACTTTAAAATAATAAAGTTGTAACAAAATAATTCTTTCTAGATTACCCCACATTATAAAAAGAGAAATTCAGTCAACAAAATTGCATTAAAAAAAAGAAAAAAGCAATTAGTAACCAGCAATAGGTTTACAATACAGAAAAATTCATTGTTTTCAAAAGATTAAATTTTTCCAAGTGAAAATTGCCTATATATATATATATATATATATATATATATATATATATATATATATATATATATATATATATATATATATATATAAAATGAATCTGGAATTTATATCTATCTTTCCACAATACACAAAAGCACCTAATTTTTATTTTATTGCCATGCAACCTCCTTTCCAAGCTGTACAGTAACCAAGACAACATAATTTGTGTACACACAGGTGTTCAGCCATGGTTTGGAGGATATTCTGTCCAGCAAGCAATATTATTCAATATCATTAGAGTGTTTTGTAATGTAGCCCATTGTACAGTCACTGTTTATTAGAAGAGTTTTTTGTTTTAAGTTTGCAGTCAGATTTTCCCTCTAAATATTAACAAGCTTCACCAACTGAGCATTGCAGATGAAACCTCAAACCTCTTAGCCTTTACTCCAAGGCTTTAACAATAGTTCTTAGGTTTTTACAAATTCACAATTGAGTTTGATTCTCTTGCTGTAAAAGATAAACCCCAAATCCAATCAAACTCTAATCAATTTATAACAACATTGATTAAAAACGGGCCAATGTGCGTGTGTGCGTGCATGCAATGCATGCATGTGTGTGTGTGTATTCCCATTGATTAGGGATCAATTTGAGGGCATGTTAAAAGAGGTGAATGGTTTTTCAACAGTAACCAATGTAGACTAAGTTGTGCGTGCATGTCTTGCTTGTGTAAACAGTTTGGTTGAAGTCATGACAACAGGGAGAAGTCTTCTCTACCCACAGAACAATAAAACAAAGAACAAAACATTTTTAGCCTACCCCCATTTATTCACCTAAGAGGTATATCCAAACAGATTAACAGAACAACAACAGTTGGGGTGGGGGAGGGTGCTGTCTGAATTGCCTGGAGAGAGAGAGAGAGAGAGAGAGAGGTTCCATCAACCTTTTGAATAGTAAATCTGCAGAGGCCACAAAAGGAACCAAAATAAAGTTTCTGATGGGAGGACACATAACAGCCAGGATAGTCAGCTCAAATTTCTCCTGGAGTGTCCATCATTTGAGGTTTGGATGATAAAAGCTTCTATCAATCTGATACAAACTGAATTTTTATTCAGTTCAGTTACAATGAATTTGGGCCACAGCCATCATGGCTAGCCAGCTAGCCACAGAGGACTAACCCCAAATGGATTAGAAGATGGGGGTCACCAAGCTGCAAGTGGTGTGACACTGTTCCCCACAAGTAATTTCCTCACCACACAGGCAGACTAAGGGTTTTTTCTTTGTCGTTTTTTTTTTAACGCTTCAGTATGTTCATATTTATCAACCATAAAAAGTTGTCATTATCTTTCTCTTTAAAACAAAAGTTGCTTTTTTCTTTTAGGTTTGAGTTATGTTTTTATTTTGGCTTAATTTCATGAATCAAGATTGGCATATAATACTCTTCACTAGTCAATGTTGGGAAGAAGAAAAAGTAATGGAGCAGCAAGACGGCAGTGTCCTTATAGGGACAAAGTATATTGGTCAGTGAGGGTGTGGCCATTGCTATGCAGGCGTTGGCCACTGCTGCCTATACATGATGATGATGATGATGATGATATCATAGAAAGTGGAACAAAAAATACAAGAGAGACAAAAACTCTCAGCAGGTTGAATGTAGTTGGAAGTGATTGTCCATTAGTGGAAGTCGTCATGGTGTCCAGTATCCAGTGGTGGTGGAGCATCAGGAAGGTTGGGACGTACCCCAGATGTCAAGTATCCAGCTACACCAGGACCTGTTTGACATAAAATTAAAAATATATATACTCATCATATTTTACATTTTACTTAATAATAATAATAAAAATAATAATAATGATAAAAATAATGATGTGGTGGAGATGTGGTTATAATTTCTTTTGGTGAACAGAGAGAAACTATTTGCAGGTTTGGAAATAAGTTTTCTAATTAGAAAGCATAATTATGACAGGTAATAAAATATAAATGAACAATAAAAATAATCAGAAAAACAAAACAATTCTCATCGTTTACAATATGTCCCCAATTCATTTTTTTTTTTTTTTTTTTTTTTTTTTTTATTTATTTATTCTGTTTGAAAATTATTCAAATCATTATTTCTCAAAATGCATTGATATTTTTTGGGATAGAATTTTTAAAGCCAAAATTGTTTGAATCAATTTTTGGTGTGTCTATTCCAAAATGACAAATCATCAACAATTCTGGAATGTGAATGAAATTGGCAAAATCTTGAAAGATCTCTTACAATCTTTTACAAGATTACATCTGAACTAAGTCAGGCATTTCGCATTTAGAAATAGTTATCAGTTCCGAGTAAATTTTTATCATAGCATTTCTTTTTCAATTCTGTCAAAATGCAATTATTACACCAGTGTAAGGTTATTTTTTTTTTACTTTTTAAATATTGACAACTAAATTTTCAGCTTTTAAAACAAATTATTGAATGATGATTAGAAAGATTAAAAAGTTATTAAATCAAAAACAAGTTGGAGAAAAGTAGAGACTGACTGGTTGTTCCTCACCTGTTAAGTAACCTGCCAAGGAAGAATCTGATATGAAAAGGTCATGTTTCTGGTCTTTATAATCTTTCCAAACAGGTGACTTGTCCAAAATTGACGTAACCTGAAAGATGAGTGGAAGAAAATAAATATATGGCAGTATAATCAAGTGTCAAAACAAAGACAAATACTGAAATAACATTAGTTTTTGAGAGAAACTATTTACTAAAAATGAAAAATAAGGTGTAAAAAAACAAAAGAAAAAAACAGTCTACAATGCAAGTGATGGGTCATGGTTGCATGTTTTGTTTAACATAGAAAAGGAGCACATGACGTGGATCACAAGTGGTTCACTAATTGACACAAAGTTATTGCATTTTGATTGGAAATTTTCACTATATTATGTTCAGTCAAAAAAGGAGATTATATTGAAAAAAAAATCACAAAAAAAGATTTAAACTTTTAAATCAAATATTCACAAGTGTTACTTTAAAAATTGTACATTTTGTTTTTATGTATATTAGTTAGTATGCTTTTATTTTTCAAAAGTCTTTGAAAAATTAATAAAGTTTTTTTTTTTGGTGTTAAAAATAAATTGCTTCATTATTGAATATAGAACATTTTTAAGCCACATGTAGGAATTAGAGAGAAAAAATATATTTTGATATTATATAGATTAACTTTGGCTTTCTGAGTTTAAATTCATCAAGATGTTGTATCACTCAGACATTTACCCAAAATAATTTCCTTAATTAATAACATTAATTGCCATTAGAAATACAGAAATTAATGTCATTTTGCTCTTCACATAAATTAAAGTAGTGATACTTTTTTTATTTTTTTTTGAAAATTTCAATTTTCCTCCCTGAGGATCCTTCAACCTCAAGGGGAAAATAAAATATCTTCATCAAAATTCAATCATATTGGCTAAATATCTGAATATTCACTTCAAGACAATGGTTAATTTTACAGCATTATCTAAAAAATTGCTTTGGGTTAGCATTCAATTCACTGCCAGGATAAGAAGTCTGAAAAAGAAATTTCTAATGAGGTGCAGCGTGTCAACAAATTAGAGTTCCAAGTGATAAATGCAAACATTACTGATAGAATAGGACCAGTTAAAATGTGTGTGAGTGAATGAGTGACAAAGAAAAGAGAAAATTTCTTCAGTAATATCACAGCCGCTCTCAATATTAGCTAATTTCCTTATAAGGAAAGATTCAGCATTCATATTCATTGATTGAAAAGAAGCTACTGTTGATTGATTTATAATATCAAAACAAGTTTTCTGGAAAATAGGTTTCTGTGTGTGTGTGTGTGTGTGTGTGTGTGTATTACACATACACACAGAGTGCGATGGGTAAATTGTCGCCATTTTATATGTTTAGTTTCATGCATATGCGTTGTTCGTTTTTGATTTTGTCAATTGCACATTATAGCAGGGTCAGTTGGGCACTGTCTGTGAGAAAAGGACCACCATGACGCAATTCACTCCACCAGAAATTTGGAAACGGCATTCTGTCCTGCTTGGCATTCACACTGGAAGCAGAAATTTCAGAGTGTTTGGGTGTCAATCAGAGGACAGTGCAGAAGATTGCTTGCTTGCTTGTTTGTTTGTTTTACCACCGCATTAAAATCCCTGTGGGTCATTTAATTCTTAGACTGGATTTTTATTCAGGAATATTCCAAAATGTTTCAAGTGGTTGTGAGGCTTTAAAATTGTTTTCAAAATATCACAATTTTTATAGTTCGAGATTATTTCAAAACATAACTTGTATTGTTCAATTGGAATTGGTATTTTATTTTCTTCAGATATCCTAATATTTTGGGCAGTAGGTACATTTTTAAAGAGCATATTAAGATTTCATGCTTGGTAATAGTTGCTACGTATTTATTTTGGGCTTCTTACATTCTATCAAGATATATTTGACTGTGAGAAATTGATTACAGTGGGTACACTGAGGTGTATTTTCTGCCTTGAGCATGTGTTTGTGTCCAATTCTTATTCTGTTGAGCACTACGTCTTGTCTGCGATCAGCTGATGGCTCTATATTCTCCTTTCTTATTGTCAGCCAATGTACATGTAGTTTATTATTTGGGAACCTCTCCCAAATTGCTTGCCATTTTCTTTTGATGTGTAATTTTGTTTTTATAATCTATATATGTGAGTTTCATGTTAAGTTATTCTCATTGCCTCTTTTGCCAGTGTCTGCTTCATGATTTCCTTTGATGCCTATATGGCTAGGAATCCAAGCCAATATTATTGTTTTGTGCTTTATTAAATGATGACAAGAATCTAGGATTTCTTGAATATAAGGATGATTTGTGTTCTTTTCTTTAATTGCTGTTAAACTAAATAAGGAGTGCGAGAATATAATAAATTTCCTATCTTTTGAATTTTCAATCATTGATGTGTTGAAGGTGTAGAATCCATTTTGATTTCCATTTGTTCAAATTCTTCAGACTTCTTTGTCCTTGGTTTGGCTATTTTGGGTTGATTTTTGTCTTTTTTTCAGGTCTTTGAGATCAGTACGTTTTTTTCTTACTGATTTGTATTTCATTTTCCTTTTCTTCAGTTATTGGGTTATGGTCTAATTTGGTAGCAAGAGATATTTCCATATTTGTTATGCTGGTTTTTAAGGCTTTAATGAGATTTTGCAATTCATTTATTGATGATTCTAATTGTGTTCCGGTTTTGTTTTTTGTCAGGTTATTTCCTAGATTTTCATTTGGTGGTGTTTTGATGATTTTTTGTATAATTTTATATAGAGAAAGATGTTTCTATGTTTTCTTGCCTCTGGGAATGTAATGTTTTGAGTGATTCTAATTCTTATTTCTTTTTCACCAGGTCTTGCATACTTTAGAATCAGCTCTGTGATCTCCATTACAGTTGATACATTTTGGTTGATTTTTACATGTTGTATTATCAGGATTTGGTTCCATTTCCCCACATCTTGCACATGTTTGTTTTCTTGTACAATACTCCTTTAGATGGCCAGATGTTTGACATTTATGGCATCTTCTTGGATTTGGAATAGATGTATCTACTTAGCTATTAAATATCCAATTTTAATTTTGGATGGTGGTGTAGGAGTATTGAAACTTAATATATATGTGTTTGTACTTATTATCTTATTTTGTTTTTTTAATTGTTATTCTTTTGATGTCAGCTTTAATCTCTTCAATCATACAATGCAATAGATCTCCATTATGAACTACATCTCTTTCCTGTGGGTATGCTTTTACATTAATGTTATGGAATTCTTTCATCCTTAACAGCATGCTTGCATGTTTTTTGGGTTTTTTTTTTGTTGTTGGATTTTTAAGATTTTTACTGACTTAGGACTAACCATTGAGGATATAACCCTTTGTATCAGGAATGGAGATAAATTTAATTAGTGGCACCTTCTCTCTAGATTCTATAATTATGAATCTAGGAAAGGGTACCTCAACCTGTTCTTGATCAGAATCTGACTCCATGAGTCTTTTAGCTTGGGTTTTTCTTTCTGTATCTATATAATGAAATTATGTTTCAGTGACTGTGCTCCCCATCCACCACAGAGCCCTACAAGGGGAAAATCCATTGCCTTTGCAGATTATGGCTACACAGTATACTCACACCATAATTAGGTAATAATTGTTTAACCTGCTAAGTCATAGTTTGAAACAATCATCCTTTCTTAGCATGATTAAGGAGACTAGCCAGAAGAGTTGCAGGAGACTCCGAAGTCGAAGAAAATTTATCCATCGCACTGTGTGTGTGATATACACACACACAAACAAACAATGTTATGTCTTAGTGAATCTGGCTCTGATACCTACCTGTTCGCCATATAGCAAACTGCGTTGCATAGCTTTAAGTGCCTTCACAATTTGTGCCTTTGTTGCTGCTGGATTCTCAGTATTTTCCAGAGGATTGTGTAGCACCCAAAGCAAGAATGGAACAAGCTCTTGTTTGATAGCCTGTAACATTAAATAAGAGTCCAACATAATTTGAAACTAATGAAAGAAATTCATTATTCTGTGAGTCTTTAGAGCAAAGTAGAATTTTGTTTTTTTATTACAGGGTGTCATTTTAAAAAATTACATTTCAGCTTAGATAAAAGTTTCAGCATATGGCATTTTCAATGATTTTACATGGAAATTGGTTATAAATGGAGGATGATATATTAAAAATCACAAAATATCTTCCTATTAACTGGTTTTTCAAGCAAAAAGAAATCATCTTTTTGAATTTACTTAAACTTCAAATTCATTTTAGAGTTAAAATTTGAGGCATCTGTAGCAAATCTTGTGTGTATTTAGTTTAGCTGATGCATGAAATAGCAAAAATAGAAATTTTGTTTCAATATTTCTTCAGTTAATAGACATGTGCAAAAAGGTTGTCTTTCTTTTAAAAATTAATTTATATTTACTTTTCTCCCTAGTTAAACCAACGCAAATTTTATAAATGCAATTATATTCAGCATCACTTTTATACAGAGAAACATATTTGTTGTGGTTGAAAGATCCAATGCATGCCTAATTACGAATAAAATTTTTTTTTTATATATCATTGACTTCAACTGGCAACTTTTCTACATGACAAAGAAAAGTTTGTATTTCTTTCTTACATGCAAGTTCAGCTTTTATCTTTTGTAACTGAATCTGCTTAATTAACAATTGTTAATAGAACTACAATTTAGTTGTGGTAGAGTTTGGACAGACTTCCCCAGAAAAAAAAAAAAAATTGTCTTGATTAATCGGAGAGAAATATATTACAGTTCAAATTTCGGATAGTCTGTGTTTACTTGAAAAAAAATCAACCCGCACTAAGTCATTACTTTGCTGCTACTGGTTTCATATAACCCAATAAAACCTGTTGACTGTTGGAGAAGCAATGGACACTACTAAATAAACCTCAACTCCATCCTGTTAAATGCCATGAAAGCCTAGTACAATGACAATCTACAGTGTTATGGGATAATTTAATTAATTTTAATTGAAGACAAGACTTTAGACAAATATACTGAATTTGAATAATCACAAATTAGATTAATGGGTTCAATGAATTAGTACAAAAGCCTTGCATTACTTTAAGCCTCTTACATTATACTTTGATAAAAATTTTTGCAAACCTGAGACACAAGTTCTTCTTCGCCTTTCTCAAACATCTTTGCCAAGGCTTCAGCAGCCAGGGCCATCATGTCTTTACGGTGCTTCATAGCAACCTTCAGTGAACCAATACACTCAATTGAACTCATACTACGGATACACAGCTGAAACAAGACACAGAGTCATGGATGACAAAGATGAAAAGAAAACTAAGTAGCGTTCATATTGATCATCATGTACATTCTTACTGCGTTTGAAATAAAATGACTTTTTTATCATTACTGTAACAAAAAGATTACACAGTTGAAAACTCTTCTTTTTTTAATTAAAAATGCTGGACACTTTTGCACACCTAGACATGCCCTCGTATTTTATCTATTAATAAATATATTGTTTAAAATTTACTATATTCATAAAGAAAGAGAGCATTAAAAGATGTAGACAGTATTGATCAACATTGCATGATGACTATCAGTTTCACATTTCAATGCAATCTTCAGACTAATTTTATCTCTTAATATAAACTGATGTTTGCCTTTAATGTAGAAAAGAGATTCATGTACAGAAGAAGGATTTACTTTACCTCACTGTTGGTCAGTTGATGTACCACTTGAATGGCACTTTTTGGAATAAGAGTATTTGTAGAAGACATCACTTGGAATATTTTGGGGATGTAACCAAGACCAGGCACTTGATCCAGAAGGGAAGTCTGGGATTGGAACAGACATACAAGTGCCATTGTGACTGTCTCCAATGTTTCTCCCTGAGAGAAAGGAAAGTTAATCAATTTGAGTTACTTAACTAAAAGGACACATAACAAGAGAGAGTTTTCTATTAGGAAAGAGTTACTTTGAAAAACAATCTCTTAGCAAAGGTAAAATACATGTAAATATCATAGCATTAAATTGTAATATAAAAAAAATAAAATATCTAGAAGAATCTCTTTTTAATTTCAGACTTTTTAATGGATTTTTATTGCAGCAATAAACAATGACAGTTTAGCAGTATACTTACACGTTAAATCAAATTTCTGACTAAATCCATGTAAATGCTATTTCAAAATAACTAATATGCTTAAAACATGCTCCAAGATTCCATTGCTAACCACAGAAAATTTGGTAGCCAAAGCTCTCACTATCCTTGAATTAGGTAGTCACACAAAAAAAAAAAAGCCGCCATTTAGTGAATTAAAGTAAAATTGCTAATTTGGGGCTAATATTTATTACATCTTTTTTCTATTGATTTTTATCATCCAAGTCGTATTTGATATTTGAATATCTTAAATGAAGAATTGTCAACTAAAATTTGAATATTTAACTAGCATGTATGACCATTCCACTTAGAAATAAACAATAAGGCCCTTGCAGGATGTAAAAATAATTGATGCTAGTTCAAGTCTCATCAGTGGCTTAGTGCTTATTTCTGATCTACAGACATAGCATATAAAAGTAGGAAAATTAGAGTCAATTTGTTTTTATATCCAACTTAACTTTTCTCCAATTCCTTCAAATTTTTACTCTTTGGGGATTTCTTCTAAAATTGTCTCACTGTTAAAAAAAAAAAAATTAATTTTGATATTTTCAAATTGTTCAACTGATCAATTAAATATCATAAATGGAAATAAAATTTTAATTTTTTTTTATGATTGATGTCAGCTTTAAGTAACAATTGGTAGTTTTATTATTGAGTAAGCTGATGAGTAAACAATACATTTTTTGCATGCCAACATCTATATAGGCCATGAAGTATTTTTCTCCCAATGATAAAGAAAAACCAGCCAACATTATCATACTTTTGCCCCATTTTAGGAAACTAGACAAAAGAATGCATTTTCTCTCCAACCTTTTGGAGGTTGGGAATGAAGACAGCATGAAGATGATGGCAAAAACACATCCAAGCTACTTACATCAACTGTGGAGTCATCAATAAGCCGTGTCCATTTATCAAGTAATTCTGTGAGAAACTCTTTGGGCTTACGTAAAACCCAACCTGGGTTCGCAATAAACAATCGCAGGAAGACACCGCCCACAGTCATCTCACCCTGGACTTCTGAATAGATGATAGAGAAATCCTCTGGTAATGTCCATCGCGTATCTGGATTGTCTCTTTGTGTTATGTAATGCCTGCAAAGATAACAGAAATAATAATGTATTATTTTTGTTGACGCATAAATTTATGTTTCAAAATAAAAAAAATGTAATCATAATTCAACAAACTAAACAATAATCAACAAATGGAAATCAGTTTTCAATCTCTTCAAATATTACATCAAATTTTGAAAGTTATTTGAAGAGATCAGTTTGATAGAAAGAACAAAAGTTGGTTGTGATTGCAGTAGTCAGAATTATCCACAATACTTACTGAGCTTTTAATTTCTTAATAAGTTCACAAACTTTTTCTCGTGCCTCATCATTCCATATTAATTCTGGATTTTCATGCGTTCCTGTGAAAAGAGCAGAAAGTTTTTATTAGAAAATGAAAAAAAAACAAAAAACAATCACTTCTAATTTTGTTGTTCTACTACTACTAATTTTGTTGTTGGCTTCAAAATCTAGAAACAAACAATTTTATCTTTAATCATTCATAATCAAGTTATAAATAAGGCAGTGTCAATGTTTGTTAAGACTATACAACAGAACTGCTGGGGTTTTTATTAAAAAGATTCAAGTTTACAGAATGATCACAAAATATCATTTTTGAAGGGACTTGATATTAAAGAAAAAGAAAATTTAAGATAAAAGTCAAGATAGAAATTAAGTCACAACAAATTTGTTAGTTTGGCTTCTGATGAAGAATGCAGTTTTAAAACATTGACTGATCATTTTTACCTACATTTTGTTATACAAAATGGCTTAATTATTGCAGGTTAGTTAAGGGAAATTAATCCACAGCTATTTTACCTTTCTCCAATAAGCAACAAAGAAATATTAATTGCAATATAGATTTATTATTTATGTTCATTTACATTGTTTGGACTGTTGTCTTCATCTTTATTGCCATCTTCACAATGTTACAGCCATTGTACATTCCGACCTTCTTCAAACTGAACTCTTTATTTTGTCCACCAGAGTTGATTGTTCTAGTTCCACATGCCATACATCTTCTGGATGTCTCCTTTTAACTCAACTCTCCAAGTTTTTGTTCGCCACTGCCATAGCCAGGTACTGAACTCACAACACTTTGGGTCAAGAACACCTGGCCCAGTGGATAAAAGCATTGGTTGGATTCAGCGACTCAAAAGAGTTGAGAGTTCAGTACCTGGCTATGGCAGTGGCGAACAAAAACTTGGTGAGTTGAGTTAAAGGGAGATAATTGAGACATCCAGAAGAGGCATGGCACATGGAATGAGAACAATCTACCTTGGTGGATGAAATAAAGAGTTCAGTTTGAAATTTCAATTACTTGAAGAAGGCTGGAGCATACAACAGCCAAAATGTCATAAGTATGGCAATAAAGATAAGGACAACAGTTTAAACAATGTAAATAATTACAATACCTCATCTCAGACATATAGACAGATATAGATTTATTAATTTCCTCTACCGAAGATTGAATAAGTGTTACAAACTTTTGAAAGTAAAACCTTTTATAATTTTATTCTGTTATCAGACATTTGCAAAAGTTTATCATATGGAGTAACTGTTTCAGGAAATAACTTATCAAATTTGGTTGTGTAAAAGGGAAGTGTGTGGAGAAAAGACTTGAGTAAAAACAGTGGTCTGAATAATCCACCGAGTAAGTTTATTTGCCAAAAAACATACTGTTTCCTAATTTAAATACATATTAATTCTTCAACCAGCAATAAAAAAAAAACTTGTCTAATTTCAAATTATATAGCAACAAGTGCAACTCAAGTAGAATAAATTGCTTTACTTGAGTTGCTCTTGTTGCTATATAATTTGAGATTAGACAAGGTTTTTTTGCAGATCCAGATAAAAAAAAAGCAAAACTGATCAGTTTCAAATCCAATCCTCTCTGATAATGTGAAGAAAATAGTGTAACCTTTAATTCTTTGATAAAAAAAAAAAAATAATCTAATGGTAACAGAATTCTCTCAATTCAAACACAACCAACTCTTACCTTCAAACATATGTACACTAGCCTCAGGGGAATCTCGCATGGCATCCATAAAAATGTTAGGCAGGAATTTCGCTAAAATAATCCGCACTTTGGGACCCACTAATTTGTCAGACAACATCTTGGCAAACAGCTCTGATGTCTTTTCTCTGACTGTTGAGTTTGTGCCATTGCAAAACAGGTCAAGCAAATATACAAGGGCACCTGCAGATTAAAACAAATAAGTAAAGGCAGGGGAATCAGTGGTTAATAATCACAAATGAAGAAAGAAAAGACATTTCAAAAATTAAAAATACAAAAAAAAAAACAAAAAAACTTATAAAATACCTAAATGCAACAAAATTGAAAATTTTCAAGCTACTATAACAATGTTTATTATTTTTTATGATATCCTACAAAATGATGGGTCAAATGTATATAGCAATAATTCATGATAGTAGTCTTATGCTAAGACTTTGAAAATGAGATCAATTGATGTTTAGTGAAATGGAAAAAGAGGTGAATGAATAAAAATACAATATATCACATACCTTTTGCAAGAGCTTCTTTTACTATTTTTGTATTAGACATCAGAGCAAATAAACTCTCCAAGATCAGCAGGTGACCTACAAAATAATTTTTTTTTCCAATGCACAAGACTTACAATAAATTCTTTTTAAAAATAAAAGTCATATATATATATATATATATATTGATATCATTGGGGCATTGTGTAACTGTCATATTCTGAGACTGATGGCTGTAATAATTGGGGGTATGATATCCAGCATTAAGATAAATTTTTAAGAAAATATGATGGTAACTCAAAGAAAAAAAAATAGATTATATGCTACACACCTTCATTTAATCACTTAGCAAGTACTAAGTTAGGCCATAAGTTTCTCAAATTAATCAATAAACATTTTCTGAAAAGCAACCCTCTTAGTAAAATGTTTAATAGGAATACATTAAAATTTTGTTATAGTTGCTCCAATAATCTTGAGAAAATCATAAAGTTGCACAACAATAGAACACTAAACCAATATAATAATTTTAACCATAATGCAAGCACTAATGCTAATATTGTTAAGGGCAGTGACCAAAGTAATAGTAGGAATCCTAACTAATGCCCATTGTCTAACAAATGCTTAACTGAATCCCTTGTGTATGTATCTGTGTTCTATCTCTACAATAGAAAATCCAAGGGTTGAGAAGTTTTTTTTATTTGCAGCTAACTTACAAAAATAATACTTCACATTCAAAATATTTTTGGAAGTTAAATGGAAAATTTTAAAAACTAGCAAGGACATGTAAATATTTACCTTTGACCCTGCAATCTTGCTAGACTAACTTCTTACTTAGCATGGGCCTTTTTGATTGGTTGAACTGATTATAATCATAAATCCTACTGCTTTCCACTTTCTGTTTTCCTACTCTTTTTCTTTTTCCTTTTCTCCAGATGTCTGGTTAGGTGCTGCTGTATCCGCATGTCTGTCTTGATACAATTTTAATGTTCAGAATGTTTCCTCATAAGCAGTAAGGTTATACAAAATATATAAACCAACTAGATCAGAAGACTCTGCAGAATCCAATGATCCCTAGAAATGTCAAAGTTATCATCAGAATTTTTTACCCACTATTCTTTATTGTGGATGAAGACAGATTTCCTACAGTTCATTATAATTCACTTGAGATATTGGAATAAACTTTGACAAATTCTAGTGCCAGTGTAAAGAGGTCCCTGGATATTGAAGGGTAGAAATCAACAATATCAAACTGGATAAAGGTGCAGCTGTTTTTGCTGTCGATGCTTTTAAACTAGTTAATAACATCTGTGGTACGAATCCATTGAATAAGTCCAATGTGTTTTATAATCTTTTTATTAACACATTCATGGAAAATTATTAAAAATTATTAATATTTATTTTTTTGTAATTCTTGATTAAATTATTTCTGATTAGTGCCATGTAATCCTTAGGATGAAATTTATAAAAATTAGTAGTTTTGTCAGATTTTACAAATATTTGTTCAGATTTATTAATATATACTTGACTACAGTATTCAAATGTTTCAGAAACTGGTTTCTATGTTTATGAAAAGTAATGTCGTTAATAATGTTTAAAAGATCCATTTCAAAACCATGTTAGTGTTCTATCAGAGGTGCAGTTTTTAAATTTCTAAATCCTTAAGAATCCACTGTATTTGAAACATCATGATCCAGAAAAAAAAAGAGCTTTCCATCACATTCTTCTTATTTAACTTTCAGTCTTTAGGACCAAATTTTCAAAATATTCCCATTTGTTTGCGATGGGTATGTTTTTTTTAACTAAATTCCGAAATCGATTTTTTCTATGTTCAAGTATTAAACAGTGCTCAACCTTATAGAAGCAAATATCCATATGAAATCGAATATAAATTCCAATATTCGTAACATTAATTTAAAAGAAGGCTCAATACAATCCAATAATAGAGCAATATTCTTTATTATAGGATATTACATTCAAACATGTAGAAAAATGTTACACACACACACACATATATATATATATATATATATAATATACATTTTTTCCTTAACTAGTAGCACAACTGCGTTAAAATAGGTTAGAGAAAATTAGTTCTTTTGAGTATGTATGCGTGAATGTGTATGTGCACATGAATATAAAATATCCCACATTGAGGGTGGTGCAAATAAAATAGTGCTCGATGTATAACAGAGCTATAATTTATATTAATAACAAATATACATTTCTTTTCCTCACTGGTAGCACAATTCCGAGTTTCATGCACAATCCAATTGCCAGATGCTGATTGAAATCTGGCCACTAAAAAATAGGCAGTTTTCAATCAGCACCTGATGATTGCAATGTGCATGAAACTCAGAATTGTGTTACCAGTGAGGAAAAGAAATGCATAAATTATAGCTCTGTTATACATTGAGCACTATTTTATTAGTACTACCCTCAATGTGGGATATTTTATATTCACACACACAATTTCAAAAGAACCAATTCTATTTAATCTGCTTAAAGGTTATTTTAAACTTACCAGACAACTTTGATTTTGACATTAACAGACACAGATGGAGAGGAAAATTTTTTTTTTTTTTTGATAAGTGACATCAAAGTGCATTATTCTTTTAAAATTGAATAAAATATATTTAGATTAACCAAAAGAGAAAAATGTTAGCTTGAAAATACAAAGATAAAGACTTTAAATAATAGTTTTTACATGTGAAGAGAGGGGTGGAGAGGAGAAGAGAATGTTCTTACACTGTGGTAATCCTTGGATGGCAAGCAGCAAATAGGATAGAATCTCTGAGGCAGCAATATCATTCACACATTCTTGATTTGCAGTCACACTACTAATCACCTAAATGTAGAGAGACACAAAAAAAGAGAATATTAGCCACTATAAAAAACTATTGGATAAAAGTTATGAAAATTAGTAGATATGGCAACAAAAAAGTGATATTACCAAAATCTATGAAGCCTACATAGATATACACTGTCTATATCTGATAGGGTTGATCTTGTTAGCACATTATATACAAAAGAATTAAGTTTATGGTTGCTAAGTATTTATTTAGATAACCTATTTCATTTTTTTTTTTTTTTATCTTTATTCAAATACTAGCAAAACTGAAAAGATTACTTTATTCTACACATAGCAAGATAATCAGAGAGAGTTTTAATTCATCAAATTAGAAATCGCAGCTTTTAAAAATTTATTTAAATAACACAAATGTCAAAAATCCAAAAGGTTTAAGAATTTTCTAAACAGGAAATAGACAGAAAAGAAATTCTACCATTTTCTGAAAAAGAAAAAATACGCAATTAGGTTAAGGGTTAAAATTACCTCTAATGCAGATTGTTGCAGCTTAGCACAATTTTCCAGTCGTAACAAGGAAAAAAGAAGTTTAAAGTGACCAATGCATTGAATCTCAACACCTGAAAAATTAATCAATACAACAAATTAAACAGTATTTTTAAACAGGCCTTGAAAGGGAGAGGCTTTGAACAGGCATAGACATTTAAAATTCAAATATCACACTAGATTTTTGTGAATGGTGTAGAGAAAAATAATCAAATAAGGTGGGAAGATACACAAATGCATAGTGCATTCCATAAAAAAAAAGAAAAAGAAAAAAGAAAAAGAAACACCGGCAATTGAGCACAAAAGTAATGGCAGAACTTTGTAAATCAAGAAGAAATAAAAACATTTGGACCTACCTGGATTATTCTTAATGACATTCCGTAGTGCTTCCAATGACATCTCAACATTCTTTAATCGGTCACTTGTGCCAGATTGAGAAGAACCAAAATTTCGATTCTGTTGCTGAAGTGCCATCAGTGAATATAAGTACTGCAGATAAAAAATTATGTAAAGGAGATTCATTACAAGTCAAAGTTTTGATACTACAATGTTATTGGCCAATCCATTCTAAAGCCCATTTCAAATGTAAAATCAGCATTGAAAAGTTTCTCTCCCTTTGATAGTGCAAACCAGAAACTGATAGCAAACTGAAAAGATATGGTGATAAATATATTGATAAAGTCAACCCATTCAAAACATTCCACATTTTATACAGGGGTTGAGTTTTAATCCTTAAGCAAAGAATCCCATCCTGTCATAGAAGGGATCAATGGAAACATTGAAGTAAAAGCAACAAAACCAATCTCAAGAGCTTTGTAGAGTAAATGGCAGAAATGCTCAACAATCAGAATTGACAAAGTGTGCAAACCAACAGTAATGAGGTCAAGAAGTTCACAAACTAAGAATGGTATTAACACACAAAAAGGATACAGGTAAGTGATCACAGTATTCCGATTTCAAGATAACACAAATATAGCAGCTGAGACCAAGAAGTGGTCTGGTTTATTTTGTTTTACAGCATATCAACACCTCAATCGATTATTTAATGCCAATGAGATTTTTAGGATAGGTTTGTATGAATAGAATATGTAGGCTTTGTAAGAAATCAGTTTGTACATCAGGTTTCATTGACATATTTTTGTAAAGAGGGTTTTGTTGAGAGTCAAATATATTGCTGGTAATATTTTTTTCAAAAAATCTATTATTGGTAATATTTTCTTTTCCAATAATGGATTGCTGTTAATTTAAAAAAAAATAAAAAATAAAAAAAAATGTATTACTGGTAATAGTTTTTTTTCCAAAAATGAATTGCTGGTATTTTTACTATAAAAAGCTATTTTTACACTTTCATAGTGCTTTGACCCCACTTTAGGGTGTTAACTATTTGCCCATATCTGGGACCATAACAGGTGCTACCACCCCTAGTCAGGGTGGACCTGGAAACAACAACAATTAAGAGATGACCACCTTCCCTAAATGTCTCCCAACAAAATTTCCATCTTCCATAACAATTGTTAAAAGTCTAGTCAGTAAACTTGTTTACAACAGAGCATAGACAAGGCACAAATATTTCCAAGTAGACCAGTGCATTGCATCCAATAACCATTCAAATAGTGATTTTATATATATAATATATATTTTATATATATATATATATATATATATATATATATATATATATATATCTAAAACAACAGTTATTTACCTGAGCTTGAGATCCAAGGAAGTCTAACAGGTCAATGGTAAATCCTTTAGGATTCTGAAAAGTGATAATGCTTCATTAAATTCTTTTAACTTTTTAAAGCAATTTTTTTCCTAAAAATGGAAAAAATAATTATCAAATAACATAATTTATATAAAATTTATTTTATTTTTTGGAAAGTTAAATTAATTAGAATAAAACTATTATCTTAATCATACAGATTATCTTTTGACAAAATGTTTTTGAAAGAACAAATTTTATGCTATAGAAAATGTAATTTCATTGTTAAAATACCTATTTTGAAATTATCAAAGTGTCTGTAAAATAATTTGCTACTAAAATAATGATTATAAATGTCTAAGTTTCAGTGATTGATAGAAGACTGAAAGTAAAGATTTTTCACATTTTAATTAGGTCCCCACCATCTGAACTAATCCAAACAAAATTAGATTTTCATTCTGGATCATAAATGAAAAAAAAAAATTAAAATTTAGAACAGAATAAGTAAAGAGGGGGGAAGCCTTACCTCCAAAACAAAAGTGGGTTGTTCATTGTAGACACGTACAAATATCTCTCCCACAACAAGTTCTTTGGTATGAACATCAAATTGAAAACTAGCACCATAATCTGGATCACACTCTCCCTGAAAGAAAAGAACAAAAGAGAAAGATTTATAGTATTTAGAAAGAAAATGCACACAAATCCAGTGTCATTTCATTGTGCTTTCACTTGATAAAGAAAGGTTAGTTGGTTGGTGAGAAAAGAAACTAGAAGCCTTTTCTCTCTTTCTCCTACCTTAAGATATCTGGTGATTGAGTGACAACATTGATTGATAGTTGGTGTGGCTACCTATAAACCACTTAGTTTAATACATTCCAAATTTCTAATGTGAGCAGAGGAAAAATTAGCCAGACTAATTTTATACATGTAACTGATGGCTAAATGGATTATTGTACATAAATACCTTTAATAATCTTTTTACAAAATAAAAAAAATCATTAAAAAAATTGGTTCATTGCAAAAGTTGTATATTCTCTCACTTCCATTTATGATGTTATAACATTCTGTAACAGACAATTAAAATAAAATGGCTAAATTAGAAACATCAAATTACAAGAGTGGAGGGAACAAAAACTCCCCATAACATTTTAGAATTTTCAAAGCAGTAAAATTGTTATTTATAACCATAACCATGAAGATTCAATTGACAGTTATTCTCAATAAATATTTACATTCCTATTTTTAAAATTCTAAAAGAATTATCACAATTTCTTATTTTGAATGTTTCTTAACAGTGACAATTATGAAGCATTAATAATGTTTCAATTGTGTTTCATTATTTAACAAAGATGAACAGGATATAATATCCTGTGGAAATTATTGTTTGTATTCAAAGTATTCAGAGTTCTTAAAATATTTGATTTAGAGATTAGAAATAAGCAATTAATTTCAAATCTAGGAAATTTTTTAATTAATTTAATCAAGCCTTTTTTGAGTATGTTTAATGAGACATAAAATGCCAGTGTTGTATTGTGTCACAAAGGTCATCAAATTTTTAATAGAATTAATATCTTCACCTCAAGTAATGGAAAACATCAAAGAAAAAATGTTTTTGATGCAAAGGTTGAAAAATGAGCAAAATATAAAAGAAACATCTATTTCCTCTTTAGCACAAAGTACAATATTATATGCTACTTCTAAATATCAAATAATTGAGACTAAATAGTTTATTAAACACTTATTAGGCATTAAGAGAAAAAAAAACACCCTATGTGTGTGAGAAATTAGGCAGCAATTGTTCCTTCAAACCTGTATTATTAAAGAGTATAGAGATTTTGTGCCTATTGAATCTGTCCAAAATTTCTAAAACTTTTATAATTGCTTTGTCCAAGTTTTTGACTCCATTAGTCATCCTCTGGGGTGTGTAATTAGTGTATTATGTGAAAAATGGTAATAATTGTAGACATACATTTAGTGCAAAGTTTTTATTTAAAATCAATAAAACCAAATTCAGAATGCAGGAAGACCCATCTACCATATCACAACAATGAGTATAGAATGTGTCTAATGACTTATATGGGTTATACAAGGAATTACATGCCATTTATATAAACTAAATTCACTCAAACAGAACATTAATAAGCACCGTGTGAACCATAGTAATATCAGGGCAGGTTGATTTTTTTATCACTTTTTTTTTTTAAGAAAATCACATTGCACTTGGTATGAAAAGTAGGGGGGTCTCATGTGATAAGTACTGACCCCAAAAATTTGATACATGGCTTTTACCAATTTGAGTTTTAAGTATAGTCTGAAAAATGTATAGGAATACTTTATTTCCGCAGGTTTTTTGCTTACAAACCGACTTCAAAATTTTACTATTTTAAGAATAAATCCAAATAAACTAGATACATTTTGCATTAGATCCATTGAATGGAAAATATATTCAAACTAGAATTCTAATTATGAATCACCACAAGCAAAATATGCAATTTTTTTTACTGTATCCAATAAGTAAAAACTGTGTAAAAAAAAAATTGTAAGAAATTACAAAAAAAGGTTACTCAATGAATAAGATTTGTTAGATCCTAATTAATAAAAACAAAAAATACATAAAAGTGTATATATCACCATAATACCACTGGGCAAAAATTATAAGACAAAATATTTAAAATTTGTATTGTCTATTGAAAATCACACTAAAACTACTGCACTGTATAACATATTGCATAATAATATAGGTAAATTGTTCAGTATAATTTCCCTTTGAAGTAAACAAGGGTCTTATTTGATGGCACAATGATTTAGTAATAATGTGCATATGCTTTGTGTCTTGTCCATATACAGTTTGTAAAGCTTCAACAAATTATGAATTTTATAAGGTTGTGCTATAAGGCTTTCATTGATCACCAGAATGAAATTCTAATGCTACAATTTTGAACCTAAGCTTAATCTTGAAAATCATTTCCTCAAAAATGGTAACGGTTTGAAAAAGATATCTTGTGTCATGTCAAAGCCCAACATTCAAACTGAGTGCAATACCATGGTTCCAAAATTGACCTCTGACCTATGGTAACATTAGACAGCTCCTTATAAAGAACATCAAACAATACATAGATGCAATAGCAAAAATAATAAACTAAAAATTACTGAAGCCCTCTGCATATGCATTAATAATAATTAGTCTTCATTCTAGCATTATAAAAAAGCAAAACACCATCACACATGTTCTACACTCATTGTTGCGACACTTGGCAGGTGGATTTTCCAATATTTTGGATTTGTTCTATGAACTTTAAATATAATGTTGCCCTAAATATTCTTACCGTTTTTCACACAATACACAAATTATAAATTGTCATCTCTGAGGATGACACATGAGAGTTAAAAGTTTGGACACAGCCATTATAAAAACTTTTAAAATATTGTACATCAGCAACTGTGTCATTTTTGCAAAGGATCATTGTCAATTTGAAGAGGAAGATGGACAAACTCAAAAGACAAAAATGTCTATATACTTTAAGAAAACACACCACACATTTTTATATACAAGTTAAAGTTTTAAATTTAAAAAGTTAAATAAAAAGCAAACTCTTTTTGTCAGGCAATTAGTTATTATTAGATATTAGCATAAAGTCTAATGAAATTTTTTAAAAGTAATTATTCAAAGTTAATGACTGTATAGAAAGAACAGTCCAAGGAAAGGAATTAGTTATTTTAAAATCTGTTAATATTGTAATATGGAAAACACAATTAAAATGAGAAATTAGATGAATATGAAAAGAAGAAAAAACCTTTAAAGCAATTTAACATATGAGATATAATGAGAATTAATGAAAGAAAACAAAAGGAAAGCACATAGAAAAGTTTAAATATTGGCCAAGGAGAAATGAAAAATTAATGTGTTATAAGAATTACAGTTAAGGTCATCTAAGATGGATAATCTGAGGGATAGACTACTGAATGAATGTTGCAAAGAATGAACATCATTGAATGAATGAAAAAGGAATTTCATTTCAGTCAAGAAAGAAAATTTCTGTAAGCATAAATAAAAGACTAATTAGCGTCAAAAGGGTGGAAATGGTTGACCCAAAAAAGAATGGTGCCAAAAGATAAATTAAAATGTAATGAATAACAAAATACTAAAATGAACAATTTAAATGAAGACACAAAATGAGAAAAAAAAAATTATATCAAATAATAAAAAGTGGGACAGAAATTAAAGACAAAGAGAAAAAGGCACCAAAATGTTTGGCCAGATTATAGATGATGGCAAATATCATCACTACAGGAAAATTATATATAGTAGGATGAAACAGTCTTACATTTTTATATAAGTTCTTTTATAAAAAGATTTTTTACTCTGGGGATTTGAAAATTTGAAATCAATGCTATTAAGACCAAAGCTTCTTGAATTTGGTTTTAATTATAAGGTTTCAAATTAGCAGAGATATTTTATATTAATCCTTTTTGGAAGGGCATTTACTTTGACATGGCCATTCCTATAAACAGACATGGAACTAACGATTGCCTATTTTACCTTTAGAAAGACAGTTTAACCTCTGAACTGCAACCCCATAAAAATTCAGTTTCCAAACATTACTTTATGATTTATTTTGCCACAAGAAACAAAAACAATATTTATCCCAGTGGTTCTTTAACCAACAAGAAAATCCCATTCTTCAGAAGAAGTTTTAAGTTTCAACAGGGAGGAATACAGACATAAACTACTGGAATATTGATTATTCTACAAACTACAACTCAACTTTTAAATCAGACAATTTTTCAAGTGTGGAACAACATTCTAAAAATATGTTGAAATGGTGCAATCGCTAAAGAAGATTGTGAATCACAAACAGAACGAACAGAATATTTATTTTCTTAGATTTCTTATGAACTTATTCTATATTAATCTTTGTTGCTTTTCTCCAAATCTATTTACATAAAGTTCATCAGGTGCTTTTGCTATGAACTGAATTGTAAAGATAGATATTTTACAAAATTGCTCTTTTTACTCAAAGATTAAACAAAAAGCAGATTATAAACTCCAGACTTCAAAAACACAAGAAAATACCGTAATAATACATTAAAAATGTTTCAGATGATTTTTTTTTATATTTTAAAATCAGTTCTCAAAATTGTTGAAATTAAAAATTCTTTTGATTTATTAAATATTTTTTTTATTTTTATTTTTGATGTTAACTTTATTAACTATTTTGTTCTCATATTTTCTGCCACCTTTCAGTCAACTTCATAATGACATCCTGACACAACTTTACATTTTTCTGAGTGAAGAACTGTATTTGATGTCTTCTAAGGAAGAAAATCTTCTCGATTAAGTCAATTCTGTAAAGAATGGGATAAATGGTTATCTGATGATGTAGTACTTAGTTAATGAAATGAATGAATAAAAAATTCCAAGTCTCAACAATATTTTCTTGGCTACCAAAAGATTATATTAATGGTCTAGCATCATTCTGATAGAATATTCTGGAAAGTTTTCATCAATTGCTGTCTTGAATTAGGAACAGTACTTGTTTGAATCAATTATTCAGTTCTTTGGAAGCCACTCATACAGTACTCCCTTCCAATTCACTATGACAATATAAAACTATCCTACTATATAGTTGGATGTTAGGGAAT